GGCGGTCATAAGTTCGTCCTCAGAGAGATGACAGGAATAACGTCAATGAACTGTTTCCAATTTTCCATATTTCACTGGTCACCCCGTGAGGAGAAGGACAGGAATGACACTAATTACTGTTTCCAATTTTCCCATTTACTGTCACCGGTGTGCCCGGTAAATGCTGTCGTTGCCGCTAGTTTCCGGCTGTGTCATATAGCCGCATTACCTTACTTGTAGTCGTTGTAAAGTGTTTATTGTTTATTTTTCTGTTCATAACTATTAAAGATATGATTGCCGTGCCAAATGTGCAAGAACAATTGACTAATTAAATAATCCAATTTTATTCTTGAAACGACTTTCGAACGGTAGGCAACTCTCAATTCCATTGGGAGTCAGTGGCTTGTTATAGAAAGGCGCTATTTTGTAGATATTTTTAGTAAAATGTATGAAATCCAATGACAGTCGAAATAAATGAAACACGGACTTACATTTTTTGGGCGAATCCATCATTGCTTAGAAAATTGCCATGGTATGCAAATGTCACTAACCGGCCGCATTTAAATGGAATTACTACTATACGTACGGGATAGCTAAGCCCGCATTGTAACAAGGAATTCGATATAATCTCCGAAATAATAGATTACGGGCGTAGAATATTTTAAAGCCATAATAATTAAAAGGTAGTACAGCTTAATAAAGTAGGTTTTAACTCTTCTGTAATTATAATTTTTAGAAAATTAAGAAATTTAAACATAACATTAAACGTCGCAACGCCAGCTGATGCCGAAAACGTACACATTTTACTATCTTCACTCCTAAATTTAGGCAAGCAACCAAACAATCCAGTCGAATTCGTTACATAAATTGCTCTTACGCGTTTCCAATGTGTTGTAGTTTTTCGGAATGTTTTACGATGATATTCCAGATTATTTTTTTTTCGTGGTATTGGTTTTAGTGATTTTATAGATAACCAATCAGACAATGGTGCCGAACTTGCTTAATTTCGCAAAAATTAGAGATCGATCTTAACCTAGAAAGTTTCATTCGAATGGGAGTTAAGGCTATTTTCAGTGCGGTTGCCGAAGTAAATAGAGAAAATCTTTGGAAATCATGATTAGTAAATCACAGTTTTTGGAATGTACCGTTATAAGTAATGAATTACATTTAAGCTAGTTTACGCTACGTTTGGTCTTATGAATATTTTTGCTCATAATTTTTAATTATTTAAAACCAAGTATACAAATACCAAGTTTACAAATGCGAGATTAATTTGTTGAAAAAGATATATAAAAAATTAAAGATGCCAAATTACGAAAAATGTTCATAAGCGAAATAACATATGATCGAGAAAAAAAAAAAAAAAAAAAAAAAAAAAAAAAAAAAAAAAAAAAAATTATTTTATATGTAAATTTATGGGAAATGTCATCGATTTCTCTTCTAAGCCAACTGGAGGCCTTTTTTCTATCATGCTGATTGTTATTAGGATTTTAGTGTTAAAGATGAGTTCTTTAAGTCGTTTGTAAAATCAAAACTAAGTTAATATAATGATTGAAAAAAAGTTAGGAAGAGTGACTTTGGTAATTACTACTAATACAATGATCGAAAAAACGGCATATCGAAGACTTCTGGATAACATCGAACTATGATTTTGCCAGGTCTATTCTCTAGATGTGCATTTATTAAAATTGACATAAAGCTTTCAAAACTCGAATACTAATATAAGAGAATTATTATTATTATAAAAAAAAAAAAAAAAAAAAAAAAAAAATATCCAAAAAAAATTTCGAAGATTTTTTTTTTTTTTTTTAGTTTTTAAAATTAATTAGAACCTTCTTAAGGCCAAACTAAGGCCGTAAGTGCCATTAAAAAGTAAAGAGTAGGCTCCATGACATATCTCGCCAAAATTATCAGTGATTTGCATTTTTTACGGCCGTTCTTCTTTTGCGATGGACTCTAATGTTTGCTGGTAACATAGGAATGTATTTTTGTTTGTTTATTATTGGCTATAAAAAATTAATGAGTTTAATAAGATGATGCAATTCTTTGTTTGATATGTTTATATAGCATTACTTATTTTTTGTTTAGTAATTCGGAATTGGAAATTAATTTATTTATTCGAGTACAAGGTCCCGATTATCCGCGAAGAAACTGTTCCAGAAAATAAGCTAAATTTTAGAATTTTCTTTTGTTTAACAAGATCTTATTATTGTGCTATAGTTGAAGTATTTATACTTAATATAAAATTGTAATTAGTCACGACAGTTTTAAAAGTTATTCTCATTTTCCCACGTGCCTTCAAGCAAAATAGATACCATTAGTTCACATAAAGTGTTTATAAAGTCGTTCTCGTTCGTATTCATTGAAATGCTTGCATTGGATTATTATACTGGAGCAATTTACAGACTTTTTACTATGGAAATGTGTATCATAATATTTCCATTTAGTTTTTTCATTATTGGAGTACGAGAAGTAGTCGATTTTCAAACAATTTGAAGAGCACGAGCACACAATAATATCGTATCCAACATCATACCGTAATGATCGAATAAAAACGGCGTCAAACACAGCTAGGAAATGAAGAGTCGGCTGCCATGCTTTATATGTTAAAATTATATGGAAATGTCATCGATGTCATTTTGCAGGCAAATCTGACGCGCTTTTTTCCGGTATTGAACGCGGATATCTAATATAATTATTATTAAATCAGAAGTAACGCTGCCCATGACACACGTTTCTCAGATCTCTGACGAGCGTTTGCATCTCACGGGAATCTTCATGGACTCGGATACAGCCAGTTTGTCCCACTCTGCATAAGCAAGAACGAATGTCCTGTTCTGATCTGTTCCTTTTTAATGAAATGAAATGCCGGGTCTACTTTATTTAGAGCTCATTGGTAAAAATCTGAATTTTTTCTCTTACGAATCATTTATATAAGGTTTTTTAACAAATCATAATTATTATAACCCTGGTTAATAATTAATAAGTTATTAAATATATTCCGGTTCGTATTCTAAATAATTATCTCAGAATCTAAAATAACATACAAGATTTTAAAATGATATTAACTTTTATGAAACATATTTTTTAATATGCCGGGTCGTCTCCAAAAGTGGGGACTCTCCTTATCACTTGAATTTTTTCAGATAAAAAAGACAGTTGGTATGTTGTAGCGCACTATGCATAAATTAGGATTGATTGACGTATTCAATTGTTTTTAGCCCCGTTCCCAGAACTGCGACTGTCGCCAGCGACACGACAAAAGAACCAATCAGATTTGTACAAAATTCAAACAACTGTCAATTTTAAATTTAGTATAGCTCCCATTGGTTGTTTGAAATGTCAAACTGTGTCACCCGCGACACGACGTTGTTCTGAGAACGGGGCTTTTGGTCTCTTCCTGTCTCACCGGAAATGATACCATCTTTTGATTTTTAAAAGCGCCCTCGGTATATTGCTACTTTATTCGATAAAAAATGACACTCTGAATAGAATGACATATCATGTCAACTTTTGACGTTGTCGCTTAAAAACAAATCGTATTTTAAATTTCAATCCAGGGTGCCATGGTGTTGTTAAAAACACTAAGTTTTAATCAAGGAGCCTTGGAAAAATAGTTTTGATCGTCTAATGGGTTTCGTGTCTTGTCTAGGCCAGTTAAAAGATGTACAAATCGTATTTTTAATCATATGTCAATTTTTTCAAATTGAATAAGGGTGACTCATTAGCATATTTGGAAAAAGCATTTTTTATGAATATATTGATACCAAACACTTGGTATTTCGAGTCAAATTGAACTGAAATTGAATTGAATCGTTATGAACTGCGTGTTACAGTTACAATTAAACCATATGCGAAAATGTCAAATTTTTCATATGATATGTCATTCTATTCAGAGTGTCATTTTCTATCGAATAAAGTAGAAATATACCAATTGTGCCATTTAAAAATTAAAAGTTATAGTCATTTCCGGTCAAACAAGAAGTGACCAAAAACAATAATTGAATGCGTCAATCAATCCTAATTTATGTCATATACTAGCATACTAAATCTTGTTTTTTTATTTGAAAAAAAAAATTATGGGGATGAGCCACTTTTGGGACGCACCCGGTATAATAAAGACAGTACCGAGTTAAATAAATGTAGTTTTTCATTTTATCCACTTCCTATGACCTTCCTTGCTTTAATGGAACAGATTTATGTTTTCTATAAGACATCACTTAACCAGAAAAAAAAAATAAAACAATCATAATTTTTTTTCTCCCTGTCGCCGATTCTATTATATCTGAAGAATAGATCCTGTTTTGATTAATATTAGGGGTTGTAAATGTTTGACTAAAATTAATATTTTTTTTAATAATTTCAAAAATTACGTAATTTCGATTATAAAATTTCTTCTATAACATTTATTTTATTATTTTTATCCTTTTTGGACTCGAAGACGTTTTTTCTAAACTTTTATTACCTCTCCTAAATCTTAATAAAATATAAGAAAGTTTAAATACGATATATTTTTAATTTAATTATAGCTTCATTAAAATAAAAATGTAGTTAATGCAAAAAATTACGAGTAGTTTTTGGCGTAGTTTTTTGCTTCATAAACTACTTAACAACCCTAGTTTGGAGTCGATATTCTTTAGTTAATCTTTAAAAACCATCATCCAAATATTGATGTTACTTCAGAAATTATTTGGAAAAAAGACGAAATAAAAATAAAACTTCTACACCCTGTATCTCCAAAACTAAGCATTTTACACATATTACAACACACATTTATAGGAACTTTTTTACTTATTTTTATCTGCAGAATATGCTACCGAAGTTTCCTAGCTGGAACCACCCTGTATAAAAAAGTTCTATTTTTCAGTACAAATATAGTGTTTTCCAACATAGAAAAGAAAGATTTATATAATCACGGCTTATCAGTGATGGGCGGTGGGTAAATATCCACTGGGTATATCAGCGGCGTAGCTAGACGTCAATAAAAGGGGATGTAATAAGTAACTACAATTAACATTTTACCAACACAATAGTTTTTTTGAAGAAATGTAAGAAGTTGTTGATGTGTTATAAAAAATTGTATTTTTAAAAAATCTCTTATTAATTAATTACTAAAGATGAAAATTTAAGTAAAATATAGTCCTTATTCATGTCATAAAATAAATACATCTTAACAACACATAAACTGTATCTTTCTTATTAATTTTCCATATCCATTTTGCCTTTACCATTCTTCTGTTGGTTCATCTGTTGAGACAAGAAAGCCAAATGCCCTTTGGGACACTTATTAGCGTAATGACCCTTTGAGCCACATTTATAACACGTGACATCTTCCAATTTTTTAAGAGGCTGCCTGTGACCCATCGTACCATCATTCTTTTTACTCTCATCATTAATCAGCATTTGTAACTCTTTCTGGTGATGGTGATCAGACATTTTGTTACAATGGATAGCTTTGTGACCGTGTTCTCCACAGAAATGGCAGATAATAACCGGGGGCTTGTTTTTGTCTGCATTTTTCTGATCCGGAGGAGCAGGTAATTCAAATCTTGGATGCATGTATTTACATTTGGGTCCGTCAGGGCAGAAACCAGCTAAGTAGTTTGTACATAACACTCGTCTAACATGCCTGAAAGGAATTTATTAATAAATTTGCAAGAAAGGAATGCAAATAACTGCATCTTACCTGTGTCTACAATGAGGACCATGCCTACAAAACCCTCTGTCATACCAAGGGCAATCTTTAATCTTACTCTCAGGGTCTATGTGTAAAAAGGGACATTCTTTATTATGACAAGCATTAAATCTTGAATAGAAATAACACTCAGGCATTTTCGTCATATCATATTCATGTAAAAATTCACACTGATCCCCTAAAAAACACAAATACCAAACAAAAATAACGTATTTTTACTATGTTATACCTTTTTTGCAAAGTCCTCTGAGCCAATGTTTACACACAATAGTTCTATCACCTCGAACATGTCTAAAGGGGCAATTGGGGCCTTTTGTGCAACCTTGGGAAGCGTAGAATTGACAAACAGCGGCAGTAGACTCTAAAAGTGTACATTAAAGTAGTAAAATAAGTAAAATATGTAGTTACGACGAATCTTACTGTCCATTCCAGGAAATGGTAGCGGCAGCGCTCCATATTGCTCGTCTAAAGCCACTTCAATATCAAATTTAAAGTGTTCTACGTCGGCTATTAAATAATCCATTCTTATTCTTTAATATTTATCCAGATAAATTAAAAACCATATCATAAACAATACCACAATACATTACAATTTTGAAAACTACGAAAATGAGGTTAAGTAGTATATTGGTTTAATGGCCACAGATGCCAGGGCTATCCGGCCGGATGGTAGAATTAACTACCTACGGTTGAGCCTGGGTTGAGCGTTTATATAGATGATGACACACAGACTGTAAAGCTACATTCTAAATCAATTCACTGGCCGAGTCGTACTTTGGCACGCAAGCTTATCTTATGTACTTCAGTGTACTCATTCACAACAAAATTCGACGCCAGAGTGCAAGTTGAAGTTGGATTGAAAGCTTGCAAGCTGCAAACTTCCACTTCAGCACGGAATTTTCGTTTGACAATTATGACAAATTTGACATTTAAATTTTAATAATTATTTTGTTTGTGTCGTTGTTACAAGCCATTTCCTGTGAAAAGTAAATAATTATTTAAAGAAAAATGGGCGAAGGACGCTCTTCTTATTTTATTAGGACTTGTGGCTTTGCTGTTAAAAAAACGGCAATTATTGTTGCAGCTCAATAATTAGCTTGACCGAAAACCAAGGGGTTTACCAAAACCCAAAAAATTTTGGGTGCTTGAGACACATTTTAGAAAAAAAAAAATTTCATCAATAAATGACGTTTTTGTTTCCATTTTTCTAAACATAAAAACTTGGAAAGCTTAATTAACAACTGTCCCGGATTTTGACTCTTCCAAAATCAAAACCAATAACTAACCTAAAATATGTCAGGAGAACGTTTAAACACGCATGCGCAAAATTCGAATTGAAATTTGTTGTGAATGTTTAATTTCGTGCCGACTTTAACGTCGAAGTGCCACTCGGCCAGCGAATTGATTTCGAATGTAGCTTTAATAGTAGTAACACGGCACATAAAACAATCGGCACGCCAACTCTGCTCAGATTTCATTGTTTAAAATTTCTATAAAATTTGACCTTGACGGCGCCATTATCGTTTCCTAGTCAGGGCCGGATTAAAACTTATCAAAAAATTTCTCATAAAATACGACAGAGTCGTATTAAAAAAATACTGTAATTGATTGAAACTGAATTTTATTTAAACAGCACTTTTGTCCAAACAAATGAATCGTTAACCGCGCATACTTCTCGAAAAGTAAAAATGAAAAAATCAATTAAATATTTCACTGTAGAGAATAGACAATTAAAATTAAAAAACATGCAACTAACAAAAACATGCCAAGAGTTACAAACAAGAATTAAAGAAATACCAATAAAATATTTATTGAACAATATAAAGAGGCTACGTACAAATTATGCCCATCAATGGGCGTAGCAAATTTTATTTATATTCAAATTTCACAAATTAATAAATCCACAATTTTTTTTTGAGAAACTTCTATTTTTTTCATGGCAGGAAACAAAGTAGGTACCGCATTGTATTTTATACGGTTACAAAGTGAATTGGTAAACATTTTAAATTCAAAATGAACAGAACGCAACTTGTACCTTTTGTGGGCCTTATTTATATCTTCAATCAAGTCTTCTCTATTAGCTGCAATTGCCCATGTTCTTGCCCTAAAAATGTATTGTTAACTTATTTTGGATATACTCATTTTATTTACTTTTATAATTATATTTAAATTAATAGTATAATGATTTTTAAATTTAATTTTTAATGTCTACATACCACATTAAATCTTACTAAACATTTAACATTAAATCTTATTAATACTGCATGATTCGAGAAAACGGCGTCAGCGATGGCTATGAAATGAAGGTTGCTGTCATTTTATATGTAAATTTATATGGGAAATGTCATCGATCGTCATTTCCTAGCCAACTGGACGCCGTTTTTTTTTGATCACACAGTATTAAAGTTTGTTAAGATTTTTAATTAGATCTTCCTATTTAGCTGAATGTCCTAATATGTATACTACTGTTTTTTTTCACAACTAAAATATGTTAAAATAATTAATCACATAGACCTGGTCATTTGATTACTGTGTATAGGATTTTAACGTGTAAGACAGAGAATAATATAAATGACCGGTTGACAGACAGAGAGACAGCATCAAAAGGGGCCGGCGAGAAGCCGGTGCGACCGATACAGTGTTGCCGGTTTTTACGGGTGTGGGCATAGATTTAGGAAGAACAGATATCACATTATGCATTTTAACCCGATCAAACATTCGGAGGTTGACTACGTACTGTAAAACCAACTGAGATAGAGAAGGCGACATTGCCAATATTATCAAATTATGCGCCTATCTACTTAGTTTGATTTGCAGAAAAAGGTGAATTTAAAACCTTCACCGCATCAATAAATTTCAATTTCTTAATTAAATTAATAGTTTATTTTTAAAGAAGCATGCGTAATAATATGTTATTAACCAGAGGATATATGCGTTACTATTAAAGCCGACATGCATTGTTTAATGTGCTGAAACGTCTAGAACTATTGGCAACGTCGCTGCTAGTCTTCCAGAATGAAATGAGCTGTCCGTCCCACCACCTCGCGACACGGCCCTTGGTCCGTTATAAAGCGTATTACGTTTAGCTTACGGTATGTTTGAAGTCGGAATCAAGTCCGAAGTTAACTTTTCAGTGTTTTTTCAATAGTTTTTTGTTTTGTTTAATGTACTTTTGAATCTGCGAATTTTCAATATGGTACGACAGTGTCAAATGTGTGGACAAATAAGCCTCAAATTACCCAGAATTTGTCTTTTCACAGGTAGGTATTGTCTCTGCCGCGCCGTAATCGCCGTACATAGGCGTCCCACAAAGGAGCCTCTCACAATTAAAATAATTTCTAATTATATTTGATGAAATTTGATCTATTAAACAAGAACGTAGTAGCCGGTAATTAAATTATAATTCGTCTCAATTACTACCTAAGTGTTGTAAGATCATAACAAATTTGAATATAAACGTTACATTTGAAACTTTATTATAAGCCAGAAAGTGACATTTTATCTTAAAATTGCGTCCTATTTCCTAGTCATTATATACGATATTCTAAAGCGAATTTTTGCTCAACAAATAAAACAAAGGTACTTACCTGACCTTTTTACATTTTATTGCTTTATTATATCTGCCCCTTCGGCCTTAGTTTAGAGATTTTTTTACCACCGTACAAATACATCTTCCTAGAGTTATTTGTACGGTGTGTTTTAACTTTTTAGAATGGGACGAACTGTAAATAATTCTAGGCTACTAGTTTTATGCATACCTATATAGAGTGACCCAGGCCTCCAAAAAGCTTTTTTACCTATTACGTTTTTGGTTTGTGATTTTTATTTCAATTTTTACATAAGATGGGGGCTATTGTAACACATTTTCAAAATATTCTTGTCAACATACAGGGTGATTCAAACCGCAATACATATGCTTAATACAGTTCATGAAGATTAGACATTTAACTAAAATTTGATTATCTGATGAAGCTACCTTTAAAAGTAATGGATTTGTAAATAAACGTAATAGGTATTCATTATTATGCGACAGAAATCCGATACTGTAGCACACAGATTTTATACTTTTAATGATAAATGCCTTCTATTGCGAGACTCAAAGGCAATTGCCTCGTATCAGAGCCATCATAATACAAGAAGAAGACCGAAAGTCAAATCTTGTCTTATATTTTCAAAAAAAAACACAATTTTCTCATTAGAGAACAACGGCATACCGTCGAGTCGGCCTAAAAACACGTAAACATTTACGTACGCATGCGCATTTCTGATATTTCTTATTTTTTATACACGTAAAAGATTCTTTACGTCTACGTATACGTGTCAGCAGCGGCCGATTCGACCGTATGCCGTTGTTCTCTAATAAATATTGATTTTAGGTATAGGAAGTTATTAATAATACAAGATTAAACAACTATTACACAGTACTTCACAGGAAGCTATCGATTGCGAACTAACTAAATCGTTACTAATTAGGTACTAATTTTGAAAGGTTCTTTTTAAGATAAAAAAAGGTAAAAACTAAAACCTAAACTATCATTTGAGATTAAACGGGAAGTTCTAAATAATGTTGTCTATTCTAAACAAGAAAATTTATTTATAAGTTAAGTTTTATAACAGTCCTAATAAAATTTGGACGAAAAGAATATTTCTTGTTTGTTGTAGGTAATTTTCTCAGGGAAAATACGTAAACAAAAAATGACTTTTAAGTCAAAAGAACAAATTGATTCTAAAAAGGACTGTGTCCTTTCAAAAAAGGACAAGTGGCAACCCTAGGTATTTCTGAATGGAAAATTTAATGGCAAATCTACAACTTTGGTTTGAAAATATGTTCCGGCCACCTATGTTTACAAAATGTCTAAAATGTGCCTAAATGCCTCCATATATTCTGAAAAAAAAAAATGAAAGAAAGAGAATACAAACAAACAAACCTAATATAGAACTGTTTCGGAAGCCTGAGTCACCCTGTAAATATTCAAAAGTAACTGAAAGTTTATATAGAAGTAACTGAAAGTTTAAATTGAAAATCCACGTTGGGCCGATTTTCGAAAACTACTAACGTTTCAACATAAGTATATGTGGGATATTAATTGTATTATTATATTAGACCTTATAACAAAACTCATCTGACGAAAAAGTGTTAATGTAGTATATTAATATGGAGTAAAAATTTACTAATTACTTTACTAATTAAATTCGTTCCAAAAAACGATACGCCACTGCCAGTAGAACAATCCAAATGCGCCAGTTTAGTTGCCGGGTTCGGAAATTTAGACTTCTCTGTCTCTTCTGTCCTTGTTTGACACATTGGAATCTTGAGCACTACCAACGAGTATTTATGTGAATGGAGATCTCGGGTCTTTATAATGTCTTTGGTGTGGGCAAGGTAAAGCTAAGCATGGTGGGAGAACGCATTGAGAGGGGCGGTGCTTTATGTTAAGGTTCGTATTCACTATCCGAAAGAACAAAGGAATGAAATTCGGTATATTTGGACAGCAAACCGAATGCATGCGGCCGTTCGCCATTCGGTTCGCTCCCTCATCTGTTTCCATTCGGTATATCAAAGACGTTCGCAAACGAATGAGAATTATAGAACCGCGCGAACAAGACTGGACGTTCGCTCGTTGGATAGTAGCATTCGTTCGTTCGGATAGTGAATACGCACCTTTATGTA